CCAGCTGAAGAAGGTGGAGCAGAAAGAGAGGCCGGTGTCCAGCACCGGCAGAGACGCACTCCTGGACCAAATCCGACAGGGAATCCAACTTAAACCGGTCCGTATTCATCAGTCACACACAACACACCTCCCAGTCAGCTCTGTATTAATCTGCAGCCTCTCATGCTGTCTTCTTTACAGAAGGGGGAAAACACAGATTCAGCTCCTTCCACCCCGGCACCCTCGGCAGGCATCGTGGGGGCTCTGATGGAGGTGATGCAGAAACGGAGCAAGGCTATTCACTCTTCAGGTACTTACAAACACAGAAACATTCACCATCTGCTCAACTAGCTTATAATATTATCTTTTATTTCTTGCTTCCTGTGATCTACAGTAGAAATCCACAGCAAGTTTTACACACTTTATTAGTGCAATATTTAACCATGGAACTTACTTTATTTAACATTACATTACATTCATTTGACAACACACTGTGAGTGCTGATACAGAGGGTTGTCCATCAAAACAGTTCAACCCTGCTCAGGCTTTGGCACTGTGCAATGCAGTGTCATCTGGCAAGGTGCCGCTTTAGTGACAAGTGAGACAGACTTAGTGACTGAGCTAGAGCAAACTCAAAGGATTTTGTTTATTTCACAATGAAATGACCAGTCACTCAGACTTAGCGTCATTTACTGCACGTCAGATGACACACTGTCAGCTAAATATAAATTAGACTTTGACCACTTCCTTGTCAGTCTCGAACAACCTTGCGGCTAAAATAAATAGAATAAAATAGATTGATAGAAGATACAAAGTCAGGGTTCCTCTCAGATATAGGACGTTTATAAAGAGTTGTGTATTTAATTATTTCAGTGCCTGTTAGAACATCATTTCAGTAGACTTCATGTGAATGTCTTCTCTTCCACAGATGAGGATGATGATGATGAAGATGAAGAGGACTTTGAAGATGAAGATGAATGGGAGGACTAGCGATATTTTTTTGTTTTTGTTTTTTTGTCCCCTCCCCCAATAACCCCTGGATGATTCTGACACTAAAATTGTTCTTGTCTTTCTAAAAAGAAATCTTTAATTTCAAAATTATAAATGTAAATGTTCTATCGATTTGCTGTATATTTTTGTTGCCTTTATGCTTTTTTTTTTTATTAATCTGTGCAATACCTCATTTAATCTGTAAATGTTTGTCATTCTCATACCTTAGGTTGTTGTTTCTTTAACTCCGTCACTGTCCGTCTCTGTTGGCTCCATCTCCGTCACTCGATAGCAATATGTCACGTCTCTTTTTAGCTGTTCGGCTTTCTCCGTCTCTACCCATCTCTTTCTCCTCCTCCCACGTCCCCCAAACTCTTCTCCTCTATCTGTCACTCCATCCTGTCAGCCAACCTTCATATTTTCTGCCTCCCATCATCCCATCTCACACACGTTCCCTCCGTGTCGCTCTCGCCGTGTTCCCACTCCCCAGATTGACATGTGCAATTTTACATCAAGTTGTCTCTTGAAACTTAGAGTTGAATGTTGTTTTCTTTTCTTCTTTTCTTTTGGTCAGTGATTGAAGGGGGAGGGCTTACAAAATTCCACAAATCCTTCATCAATCATGTCGTCATTGTTCGTCAGGAAAAAAAAATTAACTATTTTCATACCCTATTGCTCTCTAGTTTATTTTTACGTATTCAAATGATCCTAGTTTAGCACTCATATTTTCTTAAAACAAAGAAGAAAAAAAGGAAAAGGCTCTTTTTGGAATATTTAGCTTCATTTTGCTGTCGACTGTAAATTTGCTCCAGAGTTTGAGTCTTGTTATATTTTTGCACAGATTGAAAGAGAGGACTTGCTGCATGAATACAGGACATTTTTCAGGTCTGTATCATTATGGAACATACATATGCTTTAAGTAATGAGGCAAAATACACTTGGACGTTTTTAAACCGTTAACCTACTGCAGTACACACATGAACGTGGCCCCAGCAAGTATGGCTGGCCATCTGTTGTGAATTGTAGTCTTTTTTTCTTTTTTTTTTGTCACTGTCACACTACAGATTCAGTTCAAATTGTGTTTTGCTTTTTATCTTTTTCTTTTTTTTTACAGTAGCAAGCAGAGTATTCATACATGCCTGTTTGTTGGAATCAGGTCATTGTGTAAAGCTTTGAGGAATAAAGACATTTTAGTTTTACACACCTGATGCTTATAATGGGTCCATATGCTCAGTTACTGTACAGAAACAGCGGGGCTAAAGTACAGTTGCTCCTGTATTTAGACACTAAGTGCTGACACAGTGTAGGGAGAAACACTAGATTCATGGCATTATTCAAACAAGTATCAATATTTTCTTGACTAACTAGTAAATCATGAGGTGTAATAGAGGAATTACTTGTTAAAAAGAACAGTGGTCAATTATTCTCTACAAAGACCAAGTAGTTGGATGTCGACATATATTTTATCTAAACTAAATATTTCCCAATAATTCTTGCTATGCATTTATTTAAAGGTGGGTTTGTCACAAAGGACAAAACTTTAAATGCCAAATCAATTACAAACAGGATCAAAAAATCTGCTTCTTTATTTTTAATAAAAGACAACTGCAATGGCATAACTT